GAGGAGAGGTAACGTCGGGTTGGTACCGGGAAGGGGGTGAAAAAGACTGAACACGGATATTTTTAGAAAATTATCCTAACAAGTGATTGTCATTAAGGGGCTCCGGGGCCCCCGTGGTGCAGGAGGAGAAGTGGCTGGACTTCAAGCCCCTTGCCCCGGGCCAGCTCTCCTGTGCAAGTCTCATACCAGGGTTTCCTGTAAATGGTGACCCTTTGTACTCCATCATTACCCGTGGCTGCACAGGACACTGTAGAGCCGCTGACCATGACAACACGGGCAGTTTGTGTGCAGATAACACTCATCGTGAGTCTTTTCTGTTGTGTGATTATAGGTAGTTATTGAGGAGAGCTTGGAGCTTCCTGATTGCTCAAGTACCGTAGGTAATTTATAGGCAGATGTGGTTCTTCCTGCAGCAACACTCGAGGCCCCTTGCACCACAGTCACCTGGGTGTTGTTGAGAACACAGCCTTGGGGCCCAGGACTTTCCAGCCGGTGACTTAGACGTCTGTGGGCTCACAAACATTGACGGGAGCCTTGATGTTTGGAGGCCAAGGCGCGCTTTAGGTGTCAGCTGGGACCGAAGCGGTTTACACGCCACAGTTGAACAAAGCAGTGGAGAGTGACCAGAGTATGCTAACCAGCTGGCTTCTGAACAACCATTTCACACTTGGAAGGATTTCCTGTGGTTGAGTTCAGCTGTATGGAATATTTTCTCTAGTCAGCAGTGAAGTCAGTAATGACTGCTAGCAGTTCTTCCACTAGTATTTATTGAGCACTTACTGTGTGCCACATACTGGACAAGGCCCTGGCGAAGAGCAGGCTGAGCTGGACCCTTGGGGTCCCTGTTTTCACAGAACACAGAGTCTATTCCAGGGGTTGGCAAACTCTGGCCCATGGGCCAAGTCAAGCCCGCCAGCTTGCGTCCTGTTCACGAGTTTAGAATGGGTTTTGCATTTTCAAATGGTTGAAGAAAAATCAAGGAGAGGAATAGTATTTTTGTGACATGTGAAAATCATAAGAAGTTCAGATTTCAGCATTCCAGAATGTTGCGAGAACACAGCCATGCTTGTGTGCTGTACGTGCTAACCTATGACTGCTTTTCAGTTCAGTAGGAGAGTTGAGTGGTGCAGGCACTTACCCTGTGTCCTCAGAGCCTAAAATATTTAGCATCTGGCCCTTCACCGAGGAGGTTTGTTGACTGCTGCTCTATCCCTGTGGCAGGAAGAATGCCCTGGATATTGGGGATCCCCAGGAGAGTCTGATGCCCTTTTGTGTAATCACAGCCTGGGGGACGTGGATTTGGTCAACTCTAGCAGCACAGATCTGGGATCTATGGAGAAGACTCCTGGACCTCTGATCGCACACTTGTTTCATTGGGTACTAGGTGTGCTGGGATGCTGTTTCCACAAGCTCATTTTTTGCTAAAATATGTTTCTGCAGCTGAAAAATCTGAGTCTCTAAGAAACATTGAAAATTCCAGGCCACTGAGTCCCGAGTGTTTGTTCCTGTCGTGGTGCTTGGGCATCGTGTCAGTAATCAGCTGGGCATCAAAGGTTACTCATACATTCTTTCAGCCAAAACCACTGTAAGGTCCTGAGTGTGGCTGAATTACCTGATTCATGTTTTCTCTGTGTCATCCACCTAGCCTCATCCAGTTTGCTCAGACCCAGCAATTGTTGGTGATGGTGGGAAGAATCCCTTACTCAAGAAGATGTTTAAGATTTTCTATTGTTTTTCCCCATAAGGAAAGCAGCCCCTTGGGCATCTGTCGTGTGTTTGACAGCATCTTACTTTAGTCTCACATTTGTAACACACCGTCAGCCGTGTGATTATTGTCCTTTGAAAATGGTTACAACTTTGGCCATGTGATGCAGAGGCTCTCCCGATTATTTGTAGACATTGACCAAAATTATCCCTATGCTGCCGGGTGATGGGAACAGTTAACCAAAACTCACCGGGTTGTATCTGAGCCGCACATGGTCGCAGAGAGGCCTTTCCTGAGAGGTCCTGCGTCCTGCAAGTAGACAATGCATACAGGTTTTCAAAGCCTGAGAAAGAGTTGGGTCTGAAATAGCCTGCAGATATTTAAAAGCTTTATTTTTGTTTTTCTGACCTTGCTGTTAAGAGCAATCTGCTTATTTATGTTATAAACAGAATAGCATTTAATTTCTGTTCAAGTGGCTTTTTCTCAAGCCACTTTCAATTTCTTGGTTTGGCTGACAGGCACAATTGAAACAGTGCTGAATGTCACCTAGGAAATCCCGAGTCTCACGATGCCGCCCTGACCAGAGGCTGCAATGCTTCATTCATTTCTTCAGTGAAATACTAAATCTCTAAATTATAACAGGGAAGTGTCAGAAAGCAAGCCCATAAGGTTAGCAAGTGTGGGAGCATCTTATGGCAAACGTTTGGTCTTGAGGAACTGTGGGGAGAGACCACATGCGTTCAGGATCTTTTGTTGGCATGAGCTCCCCCAGCGAGGCCCACGGCCTGCAGGTCTGGGAAGCAGGCACCTGCCACCCCCTGGGAGTGCCCAGGGCAGCCAAGGTCCAGGCACAGAACCCTGTGCTGTCGGGACACCTGCAGGAGGACCCACGTTTGTCACCAGATTTTGAATCGATTTATTTTCTAAGTCTCTAAACAAACAAAAGGGGTTAGATTCTGACAAAGAGTGAAGTACTTCATAGGCTGATGTTGAGAGCACAGAGAGGGAAAACCATCTTCCTGCATAAATGTGGATTCCCCAGTCGCCGGGAGAGGGCAGTTGTCCCAGAGTCCCCACTCCATACCCCTCTCTTTAAGGGCTGCCCGGGTTGAGCTGCAGGTATTTAAAGGGAGACCCGGAGACGAGAGTATTCCTGCTCTGCTTCCTCGAGGGAAGGTCTGGAATAATACGTAGTAGCCCTGAAATTATGCTTTGTTACGTGAAGTGTTGGTTGTCTAGTTCCCGTAAAGTGTATGTCACCTGTTAAAACAACCCTAACCCCATGGATGGTTTTACAAGGCTCATAACCTGATAGAGGTTGGTGTTTTATTTGAATTTGCACAGATTTGTGATTTAATGATCAGACTGATATTTGGGATCAGCAGTTTTAGTAGCACATCCAAAATATTTTGGAGTTAACATGAGAGAGCATGGAGCTGGAAGCTTTTGTTTTTATTCTTTTTAGGAGAATATAAGTTTCCCAGGGGGTGGAAAAAACAGCCTTCTTGGCCTTTAACCCCTTCTCTTCCCCAATTCCAACAGTCCGTCAAGGTGCTCATTTATGTAGAGAGCAGTGCGTGGCAGGATGTCCATGTTGCAAGAACGTTTGCCCCAAATCAGGAATAGCTGGCCCTGAGAGTCCCCTGCATACTCCCTGTGTACATGCAGATGCACAAGTGTCCTTCTCAGTGGTGCTGGGTTTCGGGAGGGAGCTGCTGTAGTTCTCACGTGTGGCTGTGGGTCTTGTGAAAAATGAGGGTCCACAAGCTACACCAGAGTTGTGCACCACCCCCCCACGCCCCCCCACGCCCGCCAAAGACTCTAAACCTAGAGTCCAGGAAAGGTGCTCACGTGGTAAGCTCCACACCTGCACCAGGGTGCTCGGTCTCGGCCACGTGTCCCAGCCAACTGAGGAACAAGCGGATGCGTGAGTGAACAAAGAGATACCGAGCACAGGGACCTTCCCTCAGAAATCTCAGCTCATTGTGCTCGCTGGTTGAAGCCCAGCTGCGTTTCCCAGAAGTTCACCAGCGTCTCTGGGTATGGACAGGCTTGAAAACTGCTCTGTTATTGGCATCCATTAGAAGCTGTGTGCACAGGTCATACATTAGTCGAGCACAACAGAAGCAGTAATTGTGTCAGAGTCCAGGTGAGAAGTGGAAAGAAGGGGCCAGGGTTATTTTTTATTATTTTTCTAAATTTTATTTATTTTAAGTCATCTCTGCACGCATCGTGGGGCTCAAACTCACGACCCCAAGATCAAGAGTTGCATGCTCTTCCGACTGAGCCAGCCAGACACCGTGGGAAGGGACCACATCCCCAGGAAAGAACGTGTTTGTCCATTTTCCATTCAGATAACGTCGTGTGTATGTGGGTGATCAGTTCACTCACGCCACAGCGAAGAATTCTCAGTTACCTGAGACATGTTTGCTCCTTCCTCCAGTCTGTGACCATAGTAGGATGACTTCCTGCGCGTACAGCTCTTTGGGAGCAGTGACTCCAGTGGGCAGAGGCCCGTCCTCTGGGGGCTCAAGGGGGTGAAGGCTCAGGACGTCCTGGCCACAGCTAGTCAGTCGTGTGAGGTGCTGCCTCTGTAGGGTGGGGGCTGCTGGGAGGCCTCAGCCTCGACAGAGGAGATGGGACATTCGTCTTTGTTCGCTCGCTGTCTAGGAAGGACATGAAAGGGAGAACCCTGTCTTTTTCTCTTCACATGAATTTAGATTTTCTGAGACACAAATTGAAAAACTTAATTAGCTCTTTAGGTCAGGCAGATAGAAATTGGAGTTCTTACTGCACAGACTCCGTAACCCCTGGAAACAGATAAGAGGTGTGCAGCTGAACTGTACAGAATTCGTAGATGGCATGGACTTCAGTAACCTTTTAAATGAAGAGTAATGTATGTTGACATTTACCTTTCAATATTACTAATTTAAAATGTTCCCTAAAGGGTTTTGGAGAACTTTTTTTTTTTTTTTTTTTTGGTAAAACAAGTGATTCTATATCATGTCATTATTATGTCATCATTTGTTTTATCTGAAAATGGTTGAAGTTCTAAATATCAAAAAAAAATGCATAATTCTCTAAGGTATTTCAAATACAACAATTTTCATTTTATTGTCACATTAAACGCTATGCACATTTCAAAGATTTCTTTGTATCAAATACGTTGGAAATAGTACATCTTTTGATAATCTTTGCATACTGTAACCTTTTATGTATAAAAGTCTTTTACATGAATACAGACCTGTAAATAATCACATTTTATATCTGGCCTTTTCTATTTTCAACAGAGCATCAAGAAGAAAAACACAAACAAACAGGAGATGAGCACATACTTGCGGTTCATCGTCTCACGCATGAAGGAGAGGGTGAGTCCTACGGAGGGTCTCAGGGCCTCCCAGAGCGTGCTCCGGCCCTGTCCCTTCCTGACCAGGGAGTAAGGGACACGGAACCACTGACAGCAGCATGAAGGCTGCAGAATGCTGCCGCCGAAGCTCCTTTGTACATAAGAGGCTTGTTTTGACGGGCATTTCTTTAGCTGCATTAGATTAGATCGTCACTGCTTCTCTCTGCTGATACATTTCTATTGTTTCATCTTTTATTTTTCAAAACCTTTAATTGAAGTGTGGTGGGCATACAACACGATGATTTGACATTTGTCCACATAACTCAATGCTCCCCACTAAGAACAGTCACCCGGTGTCATGACACTGTTATTAGCTGTGTCCCCTGCTGCCCTGTCCGTCCTCGCGACTTACCTATTTTACAAGTGGAAGTTTGCACCTATTCCTGCCCATCCCTGACCCTCCCTGTCTCTGGCAACCACCAGGTCTCTGTATTTAAGAGTCTGTTTCTTTTGGTTGGTTGGTTGGTTGGTTGTTTAGATCCCATGTACAGGTCAAATCATATGGTATTTGTCTTTCTCTGATTGGCTTATTCCGCTTAGCATAACACCCTCTAAAAACACCCTCTACTTCTATCAGTTTCGATGCAAATGGTAGGTAGTCATCCTTTCTGGTGGCTGAGTAATCTTCCATTGTGTATATGGACCACATCTTCTTTATCCATTCTTCTGTTGAAGGGCATCTCTGCTCCTTCCACAGTTCGGCTATTGTGGACATTGCTACTATGAACACTGGGGGGCATGTGCCTCTTCTTTTCACTAAATTTGTATCTTTGGGGTAGATACCCAGTAGTGCAATTGCTGGGTCATAAGGTAGCTCTATTTTTAATGTCTTAAGGAACCTCCATACTGTTTCCAGAGTGGCTGCACCAGCTTGCATTCCCACCAACAGTGTAGGAGGGTTCCTCTTTCTCCGCATCTTCGCCAACATCTGTTGTTCCCTGTCTTGTTAATTTTAGCTTTTCTAACTGGTCTGTGGTGGTATCTCCTTGTGGTTTTGGTTTGAATTTCCCTGATGGCTAATGATGTGGAGCATTTTTTCATGTGTCTGTTAGCCATTTGGATGTCATCTTTTAAGAAATGTCTGTTCATGTCTTCTGCCCATTTCTTAACTGGATTACTTGTTTTTTTGGGTGTTGATTTTGATAAGTTCTTTATAGATTTTGGATACTAATTCTTTATCAGATATGTCATTTGGAAATATCTACTCCCATTCTGTGGGTTGCCTCTTTGTTTTGTTGACTGTTTCCTTTGCTGTGCAGAAGCTTTTTATCTTGATGAAGTCCCAAAAGTTCATTTTTGCTTTTGTTTCCCTTGTCTCAGGGGACATACCCAAAAATATTGCGAAGTTGATGTGCAAAAGTTTACTGCCTATGTTTTCTTCCAGGATTTATATAATTTCAGGCCTCACCTTTGGGTCTTTACTCCATTTTGAGTTTATGTTTATATGTGGTGTAAGAAAGTGTCCAGTTTGGGGGCGCCTGGGTGGCTCAGTCGGTTAAGCGTCTGCCTTGGGCTCGGGTCATGATCCCAGGGTCCTGGGATGGAGCCCTGCATCGGGCTCCCTGCTCCACGGGAAGCCTGCTTCTCCCTCTACCTGCTGCTCCTCCCCACCCCACTGCTGCTTGTGCTCTCTTGATCTCTCTCTCTGTGTCAAATAAATAAATAGAATCTTCAAAAAAAAGAAGTGTCCACTTTTCCCAGCACCCTTTAATGATGCTCCACATCATTAGTGATAAGGGAAATTCAAATTCAAATCAAAAGTGGTCCTTTCTTCCTTTTCCCTGTTGTATATTCCTGCCTCCTTTGTTGTAGAAACATTAATATTTTTATATTTTTAATTCCATTTATCAAAATGAACATTTTCATTGATACTGTCTAAAACGAAGTGGAATTTTCCAAAATGTTCTTTCTATCAAAACCCTAAAAATGTCACATTAAACTATATAGTACATGCACATTTTTCTGGTAAGTTCTATTGTTGAGAAATTGTTTTCACTTGTCTCTCTCGGGCTGTGTTTGAAAGTGATGTATCTGCTGACCTTTTCAGGCCATAGACCTTAATAAGAAGGGCAAGGACAACAAGCACCCGATGTATCGGAGGCTGGTGCACTCGGCGGTCGACGTCCCCACCATACAGGAGGTAAAGCCAGGCCCTCGGTCCTGTTTCTGATACACCCAGAGCTCCCAGGTGACTCAGCAGCTCCCAACTGCACGTGATGCTGGTGCCATTCCACCCTGAGGGAGTGCCTGCCCATCCCCTTCCTAAAACATAAGCGGCAGGGCCCCTGTCAGGGGCATTGCTGCTGCGTAGATGCCGTGTACCTGCTCTGTGCGCACATTGGGCGTCCTCGGTGAACGGCCTGTGTGAAGCCCCCTGTAGCTTCTTGAGACTTGCTGATGACAGAAGAGGCAATGTAGTTGGGTCAACTTAATATTTCAGATTCCAGGATTCCCATCTGGACTTGGTTTCTTAGCTTGAACACCTGCTACTCAGAGTCTCTGTCAAGGAAACATTAGAGCATAGGATTAGAGTCCTGGGAAGCAACGAAATGAACTTAACACAAAGATTGTAACCAGAAAACTTAACTATTCTTAGAGTTCTTTATTTTACCTTTCCTAGCCAAGGATTGTTGATGGGTCTGTTAATATGTAATTATAAGTTGCAATAAAATCCAGTAGAACATTTTAACGTGTTTCCAGTTAGGGTTGCTGAATTACTAATTCTGTACTTGACGTGTCATTTTGAATGTAAGACCTTGTGGTTGGCCATAATAGTTTATAGGGAGACCATAGGAATAATTCTAAGTCATTTTACAAGTTTCTTAGTCCCTTGGCTGCTGGGAAAGACTGAAGGGGTAGTAGTTCAGTAGAAGAGGGGAAATGAAGGTTGGTCCCTATAAAGTGGCCAGCAGAGCCTGGAACAAAACAAGGAGTTTTCACCTGACCTCCTGCCCTGCCCCCAGGTTTCGTGTTGTCAAGCAAAGCCTCTTTTCCTAGACCCTAATGTCCGTGAGGACGCTGAAGAGCCCAGCTGCCCTTCCTGCCCCCCTCATGCCCTGACCTTTGCTCGGCTTCTTCCTCTCCTGAGGGCACCTCCACGCTTCCCCTAGTCGGGTCCTGTCTGATCATAGAGAACACCAGCTGGGCTGATGGTGTCTTAGCTTTGTGCTTAGCAAATGCCGTCCGTGAGCAAACAGCACTGTAAGGAAAAGAAAGAGGAAGACATGACTTTATATCTTCAGGAGCTTGCAGTTTAGACCAAAGTCAAGGCCACGATGGTGCAAACGTTGGACATCACAGAGTTGCTTTGAGAATGCTGGTTGTGTATCAGATCACCGGGGAGCTGTAGACCACGCCAGTGCCTGGGCGGACCGAGCCCAGGGCAGTCAAATTCAGAGTGGGGCTCAGATGTCAGCATTTGTCAATACACCCCGTGACCGTCGATGGCATACAGGGGCAAGCACCTCCAGCAGGGGGCATCCTGCAAGCCTTCTCGAAGAAAGGACAACTGGAGTGGGTCTCGGAGGATTTCAACAGAAAGGCGGGATTTTAGCTATTCTTTAGAGGCCTGTGTAGTCTACATTATTTTCAAGCTGATTTTCTAGAAGTATCACCAAGATAAGAAAATGCCTCCCTGCTACTTCTAAATAACTTTGCCATACCCTTCTTCCAAAAACTTTGCCTCTCCTGCAAAAACCCCTCAAATTCCCTCCATAATCCTTCTCGCTGGCAGCTGGAGGCAAAGCAACAGAGAGCCCAGTGATGGAAATCCTTCACATACAACGTCTAGTGTAGGAGGAACCCTTGCGTGGCATGCACCTAGGACTTTAGTTTAAAGTTATTTATAATTCATTTCCTAGTCCCACTTCAGAATTATAAACGTATCTTCTTCGTGGTCATGGTAAAGCGTCACAGAGGCTAACGGCGGTTGTCTTTTTTCAGTCTTTGTACACTGTGTTGTACAGATGGTAGGTGTGTAGTTCGGGTCTTCCTAGCGCACTGAGCGGAGCTCCCCTTCGTCACAGCACTCAGAAGCAGTGTGTTTTCATCGCCGCAGAATGAGAGGTGCACGTGGCAGGCGGAGCTCAGCCGGCAGCTTAGCGGGGTGGGCGGGGGCCGCCCAACTGTAATATTCCAGCTGCAGGTGGGCTTGTCCAGGTCCTCACATGTGTCCGTTCCGTGCTGTGGGACACGGGAGCGGTCATAGTGTCCTGAAAAGTTCTGCTGTGTCCCCGTGCTCTAACCCTGTCTGTGTAATACTAGACTCTGTCGCCCTCTGCAGAAGGTGAATGAAGGAAAGTACCGAAGTTACGAAGAATTCAAAGCGGACGCTCAGCTGCTTCTGCACAACACCGTGATTTTCTATGGAGGTTGAATGGTTTTTCTTTTCTTTGCATGTTTCTCCATACCATTTACGTTCTGTGTCGGAAATACCTTTGACAAAACGTACATTCAAAACATTAATACTTTAATGATTTCTAATAATAATGTCAGGGTCTCAACTCAAAAATATTTGATAATGTGGTTTTGGCTTATAAAAGTGGCCCAGAACTCCAGCACAGTAAATGATGAAAACATTATTCCTTATAGTTTTAGACATAAACTTAGTTGAGGGGCTTTTTATAAGCACTTTTATAATTAACGTCCCATCGTTCCAAGGGAAAGAAAGAGGCCGTCTGGACCTAAAGGTTCAGTGCTCTCTTGAAAGCAGCATGAAAGCTGCCCGTAAAATGTTGTTTTGCTGCCTGGACTTTATTTAAAATAGACATCTTTGTTTGAAATGGTACATGTCCACTTGTGTCTCCCTGAAAGAAGATGTCAGTGTATTACTTGGGACCGTCTTGTGTTTCTAGATTACTGGTAATAGGTCATCTCTGCCTTTAATTACAGCAGACAGTGAGCAGGCGGACATAGCGCGGATGCTGTACAAGGACACCTGTCACGAGGTATTGCCCACCCCTCACAGTGGGACACCGGCCGCACTCCAGAGTTCCACTCTTACATGCCTTCAGCTTTGCCATTTCCCTTAAATATAGTTTTGTTTCCACGTCTGACATACATGGAAATAACGCAAATAGAGGGGAAAATTTCTGCCAGAAATCCTGGGAGTTAGATTTAGTTGCTAAGTAACTTCTATGAAGAAAGTTTGTGTCCTCTTCTTTAACTGCTCTCAGGGTGTTGGTTACGTGAGGCAGGCGGGTGTGTGGCACTGGGCAGACACTCAGTAAATGTTAGCCTCTTTTTTATTTTTACGTTGAAGTGTAGTTGACATACATTGTTATGGTAATGTCAGGCTTCCAAGTCCACCCATCACTCACCGCTCATCTGGACAAGCGTAGTGCCTCCCGCACCACACAGCATCATTACACTGTGACCGACAGCATGACAGCATTCCCTGCTCATCCCTGAGACTAACTTTATGGCTGACGGGCCCCCCCACACCTCCTCCCCTCTGGCAACCACCGGTTTGTTATCTGTGTTCATGAGTTGCTTTTTTTGTTGTTCGGTTGGTTGGTTTTTCAGATTCCACATATGAGTAAAATCACATGGTATTTGTCTTTCTCTGACTTATTTCACTTGGGATTATACTCTCTAGCTCCATCCATGTCGTTGCAAATGGCAAGATTTCATTCTTTTTGATGAATGAGTAATATTCCATTGTGTATATACCACCTCTTCTTTATTCATTCATCAGTGGACATTTGGGCTGTCTCCGTAGTTTGGCTATTGTAAATAACACTGCTATAAACATCAGGGTGCACGTGCCCCTTTGAATTAGTGTTTTTGTTTCCTTTCGGTAAATATTTACTAGTGCAATTGCTGGATCACAGGGTAGTTCTATTTTCAACTTTTGAGGAACCTCTATACTGTTTTCCAGAGTGGCTGCACCAGCTTGCATTCCCACCAACAGCGTAGGAGGGTTCCCCTTTCTCCGCATCCTCGCCAACATCTGTCGTTTCCTGACTTGTTATCTCATTGTGATTTTGATTTGTATTTCCCTGATGTCGAGAGATACTTAGCATTTTTTCATGTGTCTGTTGGCCATTTGTATGTCTTCTTTGAAGAAGTGTCTGTTTATGTTTCCTGCCCATTTCTTGACTGGATTATTTGTTTTTTGGGTGTTGCATCTGAGAAGTTTTTTATACATTTTGGATACTAGCCCTTTATCTGGTAAGACATTTGCGAATATTTTCTCCCATTCCATCAGTTGACTTTTAGTTTTGTTGACCTTTTCCTTTGCTGTGCAGAAGCTTTTTATCTTGATGAAATCCCAGTAGTTCATTCTTGCTTTTATTTCCCTCGCCTTGGAGACATGTCTAGCAAGAAGTTGCTGCAGCTGAGGTCAAAGAGTTTGCTGCCTGTGTTCTTTAAGATTTTGATGGATTCCTGTCTCACACTGAGGTCTTTCATCCATTTTGAGTCTATTTTTGTGTGTGGTGTAAGGAGATGGTCCAGTTTCATTCTTCTGCATGTGGCTGTCCAGTTTTCCCAACACCATTTGTTGAAGAGACTGTCTTTTTTCCATTGGACATTCTTTCCTGCTTTGTCGAAGATTAGTTGACCGTAGAGTTGAGGGTCCATTTCTGGGCTCTCTGTTCTCTGTTCCATTGATCTGCGTGTCTGTTTTTGTGTCAGTACCATACTGTCTTGGTGATCACAGCTTTGTAATAGAGCTTGAAGTCCGGAATTGTGATGGCACCAGCTTTGCTTTTCTTTTTCAGTATTACTTTGCCTATTCAGGATCTTTTGTCGTTTCCATACAAATTTTAGGATTGTTTGTCCCAGCTCTGTGAAAAATGCTGGTGGTATTTTGATACGGATTGCATTAAATGCTTAGATTGCTTTGGGACATTTTCACAATATTTGTTCTCCCAGTCCATGAACATGGAACGCCTTTCCATTTCTTTGTGTCATCTTCAATTTCTCTCATCAGTGTTTCAGAGTTTTCAGAGTGTACAGTCTTTGGAAAAATGTCTATTTAGTTCCTCTCTTCATTTTTAATTGGGTTTTTTTTTTTTTGGTTTTGAGGTGTGGTAGTTCTTAATGTATTTTGGATATTAACCCTTATTGGATATATCATTTGCAAATACCTTCTCCCATTCATTAGGTTGCCTTTTTGTTTTGTTGTTTCCTTCACTGTGCAGAAACGTTATCTCTTTAAGTGAAAGATTCACGTTTGAGTTCCTATATAGATTTTACAGGCCAAAAAATCCCAAACCACAAAGTTCTTATTTATACAGTAAATGATTTATATATTAGTGAACGTCTTTTTGATTGGACACACTCACTTGAAACCATACTGAATCTTGCAAAATTGTCTTAATTTATATAAAAACTCTTTTATTTCTTGATTTCACGTTTGACCTTTGTTTTTTCTCTCATTCAACAAGTATTTATTGAGTGTCTGCTCTGTGCTGTGCAGTGTGTTAGGGATAAAGAGGTGGTCAGGGTACTTTACTCTGAAGAAAGACTCAAAAAAGAAACAGACAAAATACGTGTCTTTACAAGTTGTGAAAGAGCGTTAGGAAGGCAAACAAGGACTGAGGCAGAGAATGAGGAACGAGGCAGCGTAAGGACTGCTATTGTCGGTACTGGGTATTTATGATGGGCAGGTCAGCGGGACCCGTCTGAGGACATAGCATTTCATGTGAGGGCTGACCGGTGGGACAGCAGGGGCCAGGCTGGGAGCATAGGTCAGACATGCAGGTGGTATGAACGGGAGAGTGGCCACTATCCCAGTATTTATTGAAAAATGAAATGGTTAAGCTTAGGAAGAAAATGCAAGACTGGTGATGCACATGAGAGAGAATGTTTGTTAATTACACGGATCCATTTTATATAGTGGAATGTTCATGTTTTATGTATAGGCTAAAATAGTTGCTTTTCTCTTCTAGCTGGATGAACTACAGCTTTGCAAGAATTGCTTCTATTTGTCAAATGCTCGTCCTGACAATTGGTTCTGCTATCCTTGTGTATGTGAAATTTTGTGATTTTCTGTTTTTTACCTCTTAAGTGTGTGATGTACTAACTATTCTAAGGAAGTTTATTTCCAGTTTGCTCAAGGGTTACAATCCTTCCAAGATATTTTTCTATCATAGTATATGTGGTTTTAATGAGCATAAAACCTGAAACACAGGGTTAACAACTTGGCATCATTATCCATTTCTGACTTTAAAATGAGGAACTTAAGAATAAACTCTGGGTCCCTTAGTATATAACGAAGTGAATTTCTGCCCTTTCCCTCATTCTTTCACAAGAAGTGTAAGGCTTTGTGTACGCTTGTAGCTGTGTGCTATCTCCTGGAGTGACACGATTTCAGGAAGGGTTCTCGCTCCCCACGATTGGAGGGGCAGCACCCAGGCCCTGGGCGCCAGGGGCCACCTCTTCAGGACCTCACTGTGCTTCCCAGGCACTTGGGCTTGGGCGTCTCTCTGAGTAAGCCTGGAGCAGGGCCTCATATTCCCATTCCTAACCGGCTCCAAGGCATTGGTCTGCACCTCCCAGCGCAGTGAGGACATGGTGTTTACCACTATTACTCACATGCCTCAGCTGGCCATGGGGACTGCCTCGTCCATAAGTGCTGCAGGCTGTCTATTCTGAGAGCGGAGGGTCCACATCGCTCCTTTCAGGCAGATTGCAATTTTTTGGTATATTTCTTAAAGGCAGAATCAATCTGAGAAAAAGTTCTATGGGTTTAGGAGTTACAAAAAAATATTTTCGAGATAATGGACTATACTTACTAGGTTGTTCATTACGAATGATGTACTTGTATTTAAAAAAAACAGTGTGACAAGGTAAAACATTTATTTCCAGATCCCTAATCATGAACTCGTTTGGGCTAAAATGAAAGGCTTTGGATTCTGGCCTGCCAAAGTCCTGCAGAAGGAGGACAACCAGGTGGACGTCCGCTTCTTTGGTCACCACCACCAAAGGTGAGCATGGCCCCGCCCTCACCGCTGACCTCCCGGCAACCCTGGTGCCCACCAGGTGGTCCTTGGTGTTCGGAGAGCCCCTCCATTAGAAACAACCTGGAACTTTCTCTAGTCTAGAGAAAAACCTTTTTTTTGCACTTATTATCCATTGATTTATTTTGGTTAATTATCTTTTCCCTTTTTCTTGAGAATTCAATAAAATACATAAGTACAGGGGAAAAAATTAATAAAACCAGGAAACCTACTACCCAGAATAGGAAATCACTAGTACTTTGTCCTTTCTTCCTTCTGTTTTGTTTTGTTTTGTTTGTTTGGGCTTGTAACGTGTTTATTGAGAGAGAATTACAACATTCCATTTCCAGAGGTTTTTTTTCTTCTGAATTTATTATTTCCTGGAAGATTTAATCAAAACAGTTCTGGACAGACGGGACTCTGAGGACTTTATTGTAGAGAATACAGTTGACCCTCAAACAAGAGTGAGGTTAGGGGCGCCAAGCCCCCCAGTCAGAAATTCACATCTAACTTTTGACTCCCCCGGACACTTAGCTGAGAACGGCCATTCTGACAACATGCTCTGTACGTCACACGTATCCCATGCTGACCTCGTGTGTGAGGCCCTGCACAGGACAAACCCCTGCCGTCCACGGCTCAGCTGGAAAGGGTGCACGACCTCCCAGGAAATCCAGAAGGCTCTTCCTTTTCTGCTCCTTGTTACTACGAACCCATCACGACCCTTAAAGTGAACGATGAGGGCGTACCTTTAAAGTTATACTCCATCTTATTAGAATACCGAATTTATCAAAAAGTGAACCTTATACGATTATAATCACAAGTTTTAATGAAGCAGCATGTCACACACCAAAAAGAGATGGCTAATAAAGGCCCGAGCTGCAAATTCCCATATTTTTACGACATTGACCATTTTTAAGTGATCATCTCGGTGGTACTGTGTACATTCACACTGTTATTCAGCATCACTATTAATACTTTTGCCACTTCATCCTGTCTTTATACATAGATGGGAGAAAAAACCTTATACAAAAAAATGGTCTTGGACTCACCTGTTCTGTATGCTCCGTACGGAACGCGCTGCCCTTCCCCAAGACCCTGAGCAAGTGTCACACTCCGGGAGGAACGGCTCCGTGGGAGCATGATTCTTCTAGGATTTGCAAGGTTTCCTTCCCGAGGAAGAAGTAATGGGAGAGGTTGGACTAGCCAGCAAGGCTGACTCCCTCTGCCGCAGGTGCTTGGAGCCGGCCGGGAGTCATGGGCAGGAAGAAGCACACCATTTTGAGTTCATTTGCCAACAGATCACCGAGCTGTCGGAGAATGTGTATGTTCAGGATCAACAGATGTGTAGATACAGCCAAATTAGATTCTACTTTTTATTAGACTTACCCTACTTTGCAGGGTGTTTTTTGTAGATCATATTGCATAACCCGTGGTCCTCTTTAAAGTGGAATCTGACACCTGCATTCATGGAGGGGATTTCAGGAGAACAGGCATGCCCGTATGAACCACACGGAGACAATACGTCTCATGTGAAGAACAGATGTGAGTCAATTTTATTATATCCGAGGGATAAGTAGATAATTTAAGGAGAAAAAATACTCTCATGGATCACAGATTCCTCCCAGGCAGTCCACACTGCTAACAACAGAAATCTATCTCAGAAACCCTGCTTTTAAAAAGTGAAAACATACTTACTGACTGCCCGGTACATAACAGAGAATAAATATCATTGACTTAAAGAGTAAATATGATACTAACTCAAGATCAAATGGCAGGGAGCTCCTCCAGAAGCCAGATTTCGTCTGTGGTCTTTGTGTTAGAGTTCGGAGCTTTTAACGGTCGTTTCCTTTGTAGGGTTTCTAATGAAGCACGTACTGTCAGGTGAGACACTGGGTGGAATATTTAAAAACACGTACGTGGCAGTCCCGATTTCACAGGTCCAGCTGCCAGGCTATAACATTAGGACCGTGTATTGAAATTGTAAAGCACGTAGCTTAGCTTATGCTACGAGGTGGAGGTCTGTATTCATGGCTTAGGCGTATGTGCCGTGACTCCCTCGGTCCCTTCGGTCCTCAGGCAGGGGTCTTTTTAGCTTTCTTCCCAGCAGAGCTGCATGTAGTTTTGCATCCGGTAAATTTGGATCTTCCACCGGTGGAAGCTGACCGCGTGCACTTACACAGAGGACTGGGAAGAATAAATTGTGTGAGGTGCTGTTTCCTCACTTGGTCTAGAGAACGTCTCGTGCACCTTACAGTTTTCTGTCTCATTTGTGCCCCTCCCTCCGCTGGGATTCTCTCCCCTCCTGTGGCACTCGCATCCTTTGAGATCCAGCCCAGCTGCCGCCCTTCTCTCTCCAGAACATCCCCAAGGCCCCCTGGCCACACACCACATCGCGCTGTCCTCACTTCTCAGTTGGGACACACTCCCTTCCCGGCAGAGGCTACGTGTGTGCCGGCGCCGTGCAGTCCTGCCCCGAATCGCCAGCTTACCTTAGCCCGTCTGGGCCCCAGCTCCTGCAGCTGTCGGATGAGGCAGGATCCCACAGTCAGAACCCATTTACCGTGGAGCGTGTCGTGCCAGCGGTGGGCACACAGGCAAGTCCGGTCAAGGCGTGAGTGCCTAGGAGAATGTTCTTCAGATTTTAGCTTTCTTCCCAGCAGAGCTGCATGTAGTTTTGCATCCAGTAATTTTGGATCAGTATCACGCATAATTCAGAGACACTTTCTTTCATATCTGAGTTCTTGGCTGCTGAACGATACATCATTAGTGAGGATTTGTGTAGTGAATACGGATGTGCTAGCAACATCACAGAGTGGGGAACAGAGTTGGGATCCCCTCGTGTCGTATGTCTGATTGGTGTGTACTCATGACCTGCAGCTCTCGTCTGCCCAGAGCCAGGTGTGAGCGCCTTCCTGGACAGGTAGGAGCTGTGACACGCTGACCTGGCTAACGGAAGCCGTGGGCAGTGCTGAGGTACGCGTGAGTCGTCCCGCTCTGAGAACTGTTCTCACCCATTTCCTCCTGAGTGAGAGTCTGCATTGCAGCCGTCACCCATGGCGGCCGGGTGTGGAGTCACCCCAGGCCCTGCTCTGCACTGGGTCGAGTGTACTGGCATTCTGGAAGTTTCTAACTGTGCCTCTGGTGTTTCTTGAAGGGCCTGGATCCCATCGGAAAACATACAGGACATCACGGTGAACGTGCACCGGCTGCACGTGAAGCGCAGCATGGGCTGGAAGAAGGCTTGTGACGAGCTGGAGCTTCATCAGCGTTTCCTTCGTGAAGGAAGGTTTTGGAAGTCTAAGAATGAGGACCGAGGGGAGGAGGAGGCGGAGTCCAGCATCTCGTCCACCAGTAACGAGCAGGTGGGTGTCCCCGTGGGAGGCTGCCTATCAGGCACTGTGGATGGGAGCGCGGCTAGTGTGCACTCCTCCCCTCGTACCACACGTCGGTTGAACGCTCTGCCGCGGGAATTGAAACAGGCCGTCCGCAGGCTGGGTCCTGACTCGCCAGCCCCCGTGCCCGCCCTGGGCGGGAGCTCCCTGTGTGGGGGCTGCGTGGGCCCAAGGGGGCAGGTTCCTCAGAGCTCACCAGCGGACCCCTGGCCAGCATCCATACTGTCTGGAATAACATGCTGCCCCTCTTATGATGCCCACAGCTAAAGGTCACTCAAGAACCGAGAGCAAAGAAAGGACGACGTAATCAAAGTGTGGAACCCAAAAAGGAAGTAAGTGGCCCACGTTGCAGCGTCCAGGTGGCATTTTGCCCTGGCCACGGTTACGACAGTTTGGTCCAGCGGTGCCCCTGAAACACTGCTGTCGAGGGCCCCATCTTCTGCCCGCTCTCGTCGCTAGAAAAACGCGCACACCCACAGCCTGCGTCTGAGCTCTGATACTTACTCAGCATTATTGAAAACAAAGCATTTATCCAATCCTTCAGTTATCCAGTCAACGTTGAAAAACTGGAGGAAAGTATAAGCTCAGCTTTTCAAAATTACATACTCATGCTCTAAGACCAGGTGTTCTTCTCGGCACAATTCCAAATGCTTACCCAGGGAGAAGTGGTTTAGAACTTTAGGATATCTGTTAATGAATCTAGTCCACAGCAGGGACTAAATTGATAATGGTTTTATGTTTTATATGATATTTCTGTTTATCTGAGAAGCAAAGACCGTGGTGTTCATTTGCAACAAACTTAGAGATGAAGTTCCTATTTCCAATTATCATGGCTATTAATTGCATAGACGTTTTGGGGTTTCTTTTCATTGGTTTAGTTGTGGTAAAATACACAGAATTTGCCGTCTTGATTGCACGGGCTGTAACAGTAGTTCGTCACCATCGCTCCAGTCTGACCAAGCTTGCTCTTGAACCAGTGGACGGTCAGGCGGCATTGTGTCAACGTCTGCTCACTGTCCTTGTCCCGTAGGAACCAGAGCCGGAGACCGAAGCCGTGAGTTCCAGCCAGGAGATCCCCACGATGCCTCAGCCGATCGAAAAGGTTTCTGTGTCCACTCAGACCAAGAAGTTAAGTGCCTCTTCCCCACGAATGCTGCATCGAAGCACCCAGACCACCAGTGACGGCGTCTGCCAGAGCATGTGCCACGACAAATACACCAAGATTTTCAATGACTTTAAAGACCGAATGAAGTCTGACCACAAGCGAGAAACGGAAAGAGTTGTGCGGGAAGCTCTGGAAAAGGTAAAGCCGCCCTCCCGAGGACCCCGAGCGTGACAGGAGTTCTCTGATAGCGTTCCCGTGGGCCCAGCCAGGCAGCTCCTTTAAAACTAGGCACATCTTAAAACACCTTCTGTAGCATTTTAATTAATAATAATAATACCGGTTTTCCTTCACCCAAGACGTGTACAGCTCTTGAGGCAATAAAGGGAAGAGGTACATCCGTTAAGTAGAAACTGGAGACAATGAATCATGGAACCCTACACCAAAACAAATTATGTAATATATGGTGATTAACATAACAAAAAAAAAAGTAGAAACTGGAGGAAGGTTCTTTCGGGGGAGGTGGTCCATATCCATCGAGGGCAGACGGTTACGGGCTGTTTCCATTCCAGCTGCGCTCGGAAATGGAAGAAGAGAAGCGACAAGCTGTAAATAAAGCTGTAGCCAATATGCAGGGTGAGATGGACAGAAAATGTAAGCAAGTAAAGGAGAAGTGTAAAGAAGAGTTTGTAGAAGAAATCAAGAAGCTAGCAACACAGCACAAACAACTGATTTCTCAGACCAAGAAGAAGCAGTGGGTAAGTACCTGTATGATTTCAGTCTGATTTGTGAACATGTTCTACCCAGTGTGCGGACGGTGAAACGCTGTGTGATGAAACTTAGCTCAGAACGACCTTGTGGAATATGGGATGTTTATACCTGAAATAAGGTCAGATGTGAAATGATCAGCTTTAAAGAATTTTTACATTTTTACTAAAAGTCCTCTCCTCTGTGAACTCCGCGACCCACGTTACTGAGTATTGCTCAGGATTATTGAGTATATGAACGTTCAGTGCGTGCTCAGTGTGTGTGATGGACAGGACTTAGCAATCGGTGCACATCCTGTGCCCTGACGTTTGCCCGCTAACTCCTGACACGCTTGGTGTCCGCATCACAACAGCACATTTTTAGGTTTTGCTACATAACATTTATACATTAGATCCTTTTTACTCGATTTGCTTTCTGATGGTGGCACCTCACTGGACTCTAACTCCTCTTAGACTCTGACACACGGTTCCTTTTTCTCCATGTCGTGTTTGTGACTCTTGCCCTAGATTGGGAGCTCTGAGCACACCTGTCTACTTGTCTCAGCTAACTGTTGGGGAAAACATTTGGTCCCCAAAACTCATAACTTGGTTTCTTAATGAATTACTGTAAGAAGTGTTGTGATTCTTCATTGGATCCAGACTACATTTTGTGAAGAGGGTCTTTCCATGTCCAGTAAATGTTCCCTCAGGAAAGTGAATGTTATAAATACTGTGATTAAAAAAAAAAAAGGAAAAGGGAACTTAGCATGTAATTCAGAACTTGGTAGAAAAAGCAGATGAGTAAGGAAATAAATACCACCCAGTGGGAATTAAGGTGTGCTCAAGATCATCACCACACACAGCCCCCGCACTCGTCTGTAATTCTGTCTTCACACGACGACAAGTGAAAGCTAAAAAGTGGGCGCTAGACTTATGGGAAAAACCCCTGTAAGTTTACTGAAGAATCAAAGAAATGGGAAGAGGAGGCTGGAACAGGGAATAGCACACTGCTATTTCAGCCTTTCCCAGTGGTGAGGCCGCCGGAGCACCCCACGGCACCCGGCTCTCAGCTCCCTCTGCGCATCTCCAGCCTGTCACAACAGCCGAGTTTCCGTCTCTCTGCCGGGGTGTCTGTACCACATCTTCTTTGTCCACTCGTCCACTGATGGACGCTTAGGTTGTGTGCTTTGGTGAATATGCTGCAGTGAAGGTGGGGCTGCCGATATCTTTTCCGTGTCCTGATTTCATTTCCTTCGGACAGACACCCAGTAGTGGGATTGCTGGGTCACAGGGTAGCTCTATTTTTAATGCCTTGAGGGACCTCCATACTGTTCTCCACGCTGGCTGCACCAGCTTGCATTCCCGCCAGCAGTGCACGAGGGTCCCCTGTCTCCGCCTCTTCGCCAACACTTGTTATTTCCTGTCTTTTTGGTTCTAGCCGTTCTGATAGGTGTGAGGCGGTGCCTCATTGTGGTTTTGATGGCATTT